CAGGAATGTCATGACGATTTGATTGGCTATAAATAAATCTATTCACATTTCAGCCAATCCAGACCATTAGCTCTCAAGGGATGTTGATGCGTGTGAAGCCGACGGTGGGGCGATGGCGCCGTACCGCGATGGCCATCCACGGTCGCCATCAGAGCACGACGAAGCCGGACTCTAAACTAAAGGAGCGCTTCGTGTCGGTGGATCGCTCTGGCTTGAAGCAGCCGCATTTGCACGCGTTGCTCAAAGACAATACGCATGTGCAAGCGTTGGGCCGTCATAAGAAGGCGACGAAGGAGAACGAGCTGACTCGATTTCTCCACAGCTTGATTGCTGTGCGAGGACCCATCACTGTGGCCGAATTCATGCGTCATGTAAGTGTGCTAGTCTGCGAGAATCCTGGTACGCTCACGTGTAGTGGCAAAGGCATTGAGTCACCCCGTCCATGGGTACTACATGAAGCGCGACGTGTTTGGCACCAAGGGCGACTTTACGACGGCACCAGAGATCAGCCAAATGTTTGGCGAGCTCGTGGGCGTGTGGTGCATCGCAACGTGGCAGCAAATGGGCAGTCCGTCTCAGATCAAACTCATTGAAGTCGGCCCAGGGCGTGGGTCCCTCATGGAGGACTTTGTGCGCACGGCCAAGCAGTTTCCTGCGTTTTACAAGGCATTGGAGGTCCACATGGTCGAAATCAGTCCTGCGTTGAAGGAACTTCAACAGACCAAACTCCAAGCAACTGCGGCGGCGGACGGCGGGTTCCGGCTGCCGAACAACGGTCCTGCTATCTATTGGCATGACGAGCTCACCCACGTGCCGGAGGGGCCGACTCTATTCATTGCTCAAGAACTGTTCGACGCGTTGCCGGTGCATCAATTCGAGTACACTGACAAGTACGTCACCGTCTTGCGTTGTGCTGTGTGGCGAGCCAAAGTGCTCGTTTGTTCAGCGGCATTTCTAGTTGCGTCTACTGCATGGCATTGATCTCAGCTTCTCCATGTGTTTCAAGCGCACTTGCGTCGTCGTCATGCCAAAACGCGTGGGCTTTGTCCATACCTTGCGCTGGCACAGTATGATCTCGTACAAATGCCACGATTTGCTGGCTGCGTGGGATGCAAAAGCTTTCGCGATGCCTTTCGAATGAGGTTTCTTTTTTCATCTGAACGGGGGTGGCATGGCCGAAGGAGAGGGTGGTTGACTAGTGAACGACGTGTAGGGGCTGGTGCGAGCGCCTCATTGACATCGACGACACGCGAGAGAACGAAGACCACTTTCGATTTGTTTTGTCGCCGGGACCAACGCCTGCTACGCGAGTATACATTGGAAAAGAGAAAATTGTGACGCCGGACATTCAAGTGTCCAAGCCTAGCACGCCGAACGAGTCGAAAGGTGGGCGGCTTGATGCTCTGTCATGCTCTCGATCGTATATCTGTCGGCAATTGGCCCTTGGCGAGCGATGCACTTGTTGGCCATGTTGGCATCATCGTTTGACTTGGATGGATTTGGATGGTAGACCCAAAAGACATCCTGGACAATCTGAACGCATCGGCGGCGCGCATCACAGCGCACCTTGAAGCGCTCGAAAAGGAAGACAGCGTCGATGTTGTCCCGGTGCTGTCGCCCGGCGTGCAAGTCGGGGATCGGATTGAAATTAGCCCTGTTGGGATTGCGTTGGTGCAGGAAGTTGCCAGGCGCATTGACACTCACGGCGGCGGTAAGGTTTGCCTCCCTCGACCTCTTTGTCCTGTGTTTTACTTGCCACGGTGCTGAAAAGCTTGACATGGAGATCGTTGTAGCGGCGCTGGTGGTAGACTACGGCCGAGACCACCCATCTGAAGTCAGTTTACGAGGCATCCAGCACCACCAGTTTGTCAGCGTGCTGCGAGAACCTGGCGACGTTGACTTGGTAGGCCATCGCTTGGTTGGGTAGTTGTGCTTGGGCTGTGGTGCTTTGATCCAAGTGTTCGCATTCTTGGCTCTCATGGCGAGTTGTTGTAGAGCATCGACGTCGACTTCAGCACACTCAAGCGATATGCCACCGACGAGACTCGCGTGCGGGCTTACGGTCCAATTGGGCAAGGCGAGTTTTTGAAAGCGATGGGCATAGAACATCGCATGGCGGCCCTGTTTCAAAATGCTTCAGGTGTGGATTCAATCGTTACGATTTCTTGAGTGACGATGGGGAGCATGTGTAGAGGAAATGCAGGAAACCATCTACGACGCGTACGAGCGGCTGGTCGACCCGGATCAAATGGGCACGATCTTTAAAGCGATGGCGCTAGTGTCGGACAAAGTCGTCGGGGACCCCGTCGGGTTTACACCGCTCATCGACGAGGCTAGCCACGGCCACCACGACTAGCCGGCATGCATAATCCACTTTTGCAAAAGAAACCATGGCGATGATGAGCGATGCTGTCGACTGTTGTACAGAGGAACGGATTGAATCGAAGAAAGTGTAGAGGGGGCAGGTCACTGGCTGGCGCGACGGCCGCGATGGCTTATTCGCATCGCGCCATTCACCCAGAACATCGCAGAGATGGAGACACATCGTGTTGGCATCGCTACAACCCCTCGCTCCTCGCACTGCACCTCCATCTTCCGTTGGAAGTTCCTTGCTCGATGGATGGATAGTCGTTACGATAGCACACGGTGCGATGTAGGAAAACCGCAAGTGGCATGTGCAAGGTAGGGGCAATGTCCTTGCGTGAATTTGACGTGGGATTTCGCCTGTGAGCCACGAGGTCCGGTGTTCCTGAAGCGATGTTGGACCCTGCCGACGTGACTACACCCTAGCCAAGCCCTCCCATCACGATGCAGTGAGTTGCTGTCGTCCTCAAGCTCGGCAGATGCCTTTGGTATTGTCCTTCACGACGTGATGAAAAAGCGCGTGTCGACTCGTTGTATACTTTGCAACTCATGCGGTAACTGAGACAATGAGGAGGCAGCAGGTTTGGAAGCCCGCCGCCGACCATGGTAGCTGCCACGATAGGGACGTTCATGTAGGTTTCGTGCGGATCGATTGCCACATGGCGTGGCCTTTGCCATTCACTCCCATTATTACGCGACCTCTCCGAACATTCAACGAGCAGCAGCGGGCGCATGCACGTGGACGACGTATATGGAGGGAAGAGAGCAACCCTCGACTGAACCCTTCCGTCATCTCAACGATTGGACCACCGCCGCATGCAGCATTCTCGACGGGCGTGGTCCACCAGAACTCGGTCGCACCCACGTCGGACACGGGCGACCACGTCCTCGAGATGTCCGACCGAAGCGGGCGCATGACGAGGTCATGGTTGTCAGTGACGCACACCCCCACAGCACGAAGGGCCACGATACGTTGATAAATTAATCGGTGGGATTACGCAGATCGCGTGGGCCTTTTGCGCTGCGTATCCTCGTCGCTCGTGGCGTGCATGGCGTCGATGTAGGGTCGAAAACGAGCCTTGGCAATCCCGCGATCAACCTTGCAACTTCGCAGGAGGACGCCCGATTCGGCAGTAAATCGACGTGGAAGCAACGTAATAGCTCGCACCGTTTCAAAGCCGCACAGGTTGCCTTCTTTACTGACGACGACAAGGTCACGGAGCACGAGGTGAACGATCTGTTGGGCCATCGCATTGTCATCACTGCACTTAGAATGCGATGGTCGGCGTACCGTCGGGTGTTCGCAAAGCTCGGCGAAGGAGGAAGTCGCGATGGTCAGCTTCTTGGCCAAGGCATACAACGCGTAGTCTTCTGGCACAATCACGGCCACGAGCGAGTCATGGTGTTCATCGCCAAACACAATCGCTTGTGCCACAAACCAGCTTGTGTGGAGGACGTTCTCGATCTTTTCCGGGGCCACGCATTGCCCACTGGACACGGTAAAGCTCCTGGACCTTGGACCGACGAGTAGGGGAGACGTTCGCTTGCGCAGGATCGGCGGTGCTGGTTGCGGTGCCACACGTCTGCCGCTGCGTGCGTGGTGGAGCCACAGGCGCTGGTAATTGATGCCAGCGCTGATCCCAACGCTATAACGAATGGAACGTGATCGCCAGTTGCTACAGCATATAGACTACCTCATCACATCGCATGGCCTTGAAGGCAGGGGCATCGCCGGCACGGAGGTGCGCATCACACGTCGCCAATAACGCGATGTCCGAGCATCTCCTGCCGCCGTGACAAATTGTTACATCGGCCAATGTTCTTCCCAAAAGATTGTGGGATTAACTAGTCAACTTTAGCTTGATTGGTCCAAAGATTTCGTTGCGTTGGAGAAACCTAGGATTAACGCAAGATGGCGAGTGGAGCATGGGGATGGTGGGGCCGGCGACCCACCAAACTCTGCTGGCCATAACACTTGTGCCGAGCTTGCATAGGATGGCGCGTGAAAAGTTTGGAGCGTTCAGCGGCGGTGCTGCGGCGGCGCAGTACGTGACTTACCATCCTGTACGCTGAAGGCGAGTGTGAGTCATCGACGTTTGCGAATGCACACCTGAAGCGATGACGATTGGATGTGACGCTGTTGCGAGGGAAGACATTTCATGGCAGCAGGATGAGCGACCCATTTGGCGGATCATTGTCCGAGGAAGAGCGCTCGGTGTCTTTTGGAGCTGCTGCTGTCCAAGGATGAACACCGAGGTACAATTGAACCACATTACCGTGATGTAGGGCATGCGTCCTGCCAGCTAGGGTTACGTGCAGTGAATAGCGAACGACTGATGATGGAACACCACCCCGGGGAAGTCGCTTTGCAGTGATTCTGCAGGAGGAGAGGGGCTATTCCACGAGCACGAGCCAGTCAACGTCAAACAGTTCACGGAAGTCACCATGTCCCGAGGGAGGTTGGTGGAATCCACTCGTGCACGACAGATTCGAAACGCAGCCAACAGATCCGCCTAGATAAGTCCTCGAAAGAGGATATCCTTGGAACGATCAAATGGCTGCACCCTGGAGGCATGCGCGAGGCGGTACAAAGGCGCAGCTTGGGGACATGTGAAGTCGGCGGGTGCACGACGTCGACATGCTTTACATCGCCATGCATGGCATATGCACGCGCATCTCGTTATTCGACGAATACCACG